AATGTTAGACTTTTAATGTTATATATAGTATAGGGTGTATTTTATACTTTTAAAATACTATATGGTTAACTTTAACAATTACACTTTTAATTCAATTAAATAGTTAACCTAAACTTTTATGGATTTATTAAACCTCTTTTAATTATACTCCTTAATTAATTAATAAAATCATAAGGGTGTGATTTGAACTTTTCAAAACATTACTAGAGTTTTAGAATTTAACATTTTTAATTAAACCTTTTTATCAACTTTTAAATTCCAAAACTTGAGGGCAAGTTTTGAAACCTTTTTCAAAACATTAGGGTTTTAACTATTTAAATTTCAAAACTTCAAAACTTTTGGGTTCAAATTTAAACTATAAAACCTAAAGGGGAAAATATGAAACCCTTTCATAACAACAAGGATCAAATAACAAATAATTTTAAATTAACATTTAATCACATAATTATCCATATTTGATTTATTTAATGATTTCTTGCAAAACAATTTATCAATTGACTCAAAATAATTAATCAATTATCTTATAAGGAAACAATTATCTTGTTAATTGATAAGAATATAGTCATATATATCATAAAATCGGATTTATATTGATCTAACATGATAAGGTAACTATCCAAATGCAAAAACAGCAAGAAATCCCGAGATAAGCATTATCTGACGCTCGAACTCGCCGAGTACCACACTGTACTCGCCGAGTTGAGGTCTACTCGCCGAGTACACTATGGTACTCGCCGAGTTCCTCAGCCATAAAGCCCAAAAAACGATTTTCCAGTTATACAATGCATCAATACAATTGAAACCAAGCTAGGCTCTGATACCACTGATGGGTTTTGGTCATAAGACATCCTATGTGCTCATACAAACCCTAATGCTTGGATCTAGGTTTCTCTATTGTACATGCTTTGAATCCAAGACTATAAACCCTAATTCTAACATATGGAAATTGACATTAACATATAATTAGGTTTAAGAACATACCTTGATTGTTATATAGCAATAACAATCACAACTCCACCTTGGATTGACTTTGGAATGCTTAGAGTCACAAGTGTCACTCCTCTAATGGCTTACAAACACCATAAGCAAATGGAGAAGGTATAAAGAGAGAGGTGAGAGGTTAGAATTCGTATCTAGGACCTCTTGGGAAGGGATACACGAATTCATGACCCTAGGGGTGTTTATATAGGTGTAGAGATAGGGTTTCAGTCATTATCCTTATCTAGTTGATTATCCATTAAGCAACCAATAAGATAATCCTTGAATCCTTATCATACTCGAATTCTAAGGCTTTCCAACCTTAAATTCGTCCACCATATAAATAACATAATCCTTACCTTATTTTGTAACTATCACATAATTACAAATCAGCCCCTCTAGTTTAATTAATTACATTTGATCACAAAACTAATTCTTAATTAATTATTGACCAATATTAATTAAACAAATATGATTTATCCTTTAATATATTATTCTTATAACATATTAATAAATCATATTATCTCTCTCTCTTTATTCATTTCTCCAATCAAGTTGCTTTGGTGAAGGCAACCCAAAAGGACCATGCACCATCGGGTCAAGTACATACCAAAATAGTTATGGACTTAGACACTAATCCAACACTTAGGAGGTCCAGATCTGAGGTTTCCAACCTCAAACCATGTCTCATTCAACTCATAGATTCCAACGGATGGAAACAAAGCGCTAAAACTCCCAAAATGAGATCTAGTACAAAGAATGAGCAAGATGAGGACTTTGTACCTTACTAAATCCACTCGATCAACTCGACTCGACTCGGCGAGTTTCCCCTTAGCTCGTCGAGTCTCTCCTGCAATCTCAAGATTAAAATACACAATAATGTCCCTGAAAATTCGGATGTTACAGTGTAGGCCTTAGTTATGAACCAAGTTAGCCTATGGGTAGAATGGTCATTCTACCCTATGAAGGATTATTGGATATGGACTAGGATGGACTAGGGGGTAAAACGGTCATTTTACCCTAAGGAGAATTATTGGTTTTGGTCTAATTGTTATCTTGGTATTGGTAGTTCGGGGAGCCGAAGAATCGGTAGTTCGGGGATTTGTTAGATAGCAACTAGAGGGGTATCAACAGAACTTCAACAATGCAAGGTGAGTCTCCTCACTGTGAATGGGTCTACGACCACAATGCCGGCCCATGTATTTTATGAGTAGGAAGAACCGGGGTTTAGCCCTAGGCAATGTATGCTAGTATATGGTTCCGGATCAAGGTCTGATGTCGGGCGGTTATCCGAGGGATGCTTGTATGATAGTTGATACTTGTTGTCTATATGATACTCGCATGTGTCTGGTAGGGAGGTGAGTGTGGGCAAGGTCCCATATCTCGCCACTTGAAGAGTATGGACAGGGTTCCTTATCTTATGAGTAGCAGAGCATGAGCGAGGCCTAAGATATGAGACAGGTGAGTATGTTCGGGGGCCCGTATCTCACTATTAGCAGGACCTTGGATGGGGTTCCATGACTCACCAGTAGTAGGACAGGGGCGGAGCCCAAGATAGGAGAGGCCTTAGTACTCAAATACAATAGAGTGTGTTTAGCTTACGTGTTATGTGTTATGTGTTATGTTATATGTTATATATGTTTAGCGGGCGAGGCCTAGAGGGAGGCGGGGCCTAAGAGAAATAGATATGTATACCGAGCGGGGCTCGATGCCAGGGGGCCTGATGCCGAGCGGGGACCGATGTCGGAGCTAGTCCAATGCCACGCACATCCTGATGCGGCGGGCGGGGGCCTAGTATGTGGTTATGTATATGGTATGTGGTAGATTGGGGAACTTACTAAGCTATGTGCTTACGGTTTTCAATTTTGGTTTCAAGTGCTTCTAGTAGCGGAGGGAAGAGCTTGCGGTGATCGCATTGCCCACACACCAAAGGAGTTTCAGCTTAGTACGTTTACTCTGATTAAACAAAATAATGTTTTACACATGATACTCTGATGTGATATGTTTTGAATGAATGGTTGACACTTGTGGTTTTATTATTAAATTAAAAATGAAATTTTTGGTCATGATTTTTGGGTCATTACAAAATAAGACAAAATAACGACTTCCATTAAAAGAGAAAACGGGGGAGGGTCCCCAAACATCAGAATATACTATTTCAAATGGTTTTGAGGATGTCACTTGAGAACTAGGGAGATGAATTCTATGACTTTTTCCTAGTTGACACGACTTACAAACAGTAGCAAATTTATTTTTAGACACAGGAAGTTTGAATGTAGAAACTAAACGGCGAAGAAGCGGTTCGTGTGGATGTGCAAGTTGCTTGTGCGATCCATGAAGTGAGGTGTGACTACCGGTAAAATCTTTGTGAGTGTAAGGGGGAGCTAGTCGATAAAGCCTTCATGTTTATCCCCTTGAAGGATTGTTTGTCCCCGAAATGTCTTAACAGAACACGATTTAGGCCAAAATTCCATGTAAACATCATTATCTTTTGTCAATTTAGAAACACTAAGAAGATTTTTAGTAAGGTTAGGAATAATCAACACATTTGGGAATTTGAGATGAGATAAAGAAGATGAGCCAACATGAGAAATAGACAAGTGATTACCATTTCCTACTTGAAGCTTTTCATCCCATGTGTATGAATCAGCTATGTTGAGCTTGGTAATGTCAGGAGAAACATGATCAGTAGCACCGGTATCAAAATACCAAGCTAGTTCAATAGATGATGGGCTAAAAGTGCTTGGTGCTGGTTTGCTTTAGGATTGGGCCTTCTAGATGGAAAATCTGTTTGGTTTCCCCTTTGCCAACAATCAATAACTTTGTCACCAGGTTTAGTATACAATTGACAAATTGGGCATCGTCTCCTCTGGTCAGAGTTGCGACTTGAATTAGAGGAATTTGGCCTTTGATTAGCATTTGATGGAGTACTTGATCCGTGACCAGCAAAGGAGTCAGAAGAGTGATGATTTGATCGATTAACTATTAGGGTAGCAGTAGGGGATTGTGAAACGGAACCAAGGCGAATATGGTCCTGTTCAATCCTAGATTCTTCCTGTAACAAAATACCTATGAGATCATCAACTGTTAGAGTTTCAGCCTTCATCATAAAAGCAGTAATGAGACAGCCATGAGACGAATCCAGGCCAGCAAGAATGTAGCTGATTAGGTCTTCTTCACGAACTGGGCGTAAGTTCTCTGCTAAAGAATCAGCAAGCGACCTTTTTCTTTCAATGCATTCCATCATAGTTATAGACCCTTTTGTAAGAGTTTGAAGTTGATTTTTGAGCTGCATACGACAAGCCCTAGTTTGAGCTTGATACAAGGTCTCGATAGTTTTCCACGCTGTGTAAGAAGAGTTTGAGCGGGCAACCAGAGCAAGATCTTTATCTATCATTGTGGATTTGAGCCGTTTGAGCGGGCAACCAGAGCATGATCTTTATCCATCATTTTGGATTTGAGCCATAATAAGACATACCTATCATGTTTCTTCCAGACAACATAATCGGGGTTTGGTGTTGAGGTGGCAGGAACAACAGCAACAGCCGGAGTAGAATCAATGGTTGGAACGGCTGTAATAGCAGGAACAGTTATTGTTTCAGTCGGTGGTTGAGGATTCCGAACATAATCCTCTAGATCCAAGGCTTCAAGGGTTGCGACTATGGTTGTGCGCCAAAGTGGATAGTTGGTACGATCGAGTTTCATAATGATTTGTGGTATTTGAAAATTCAAGGTAGGGGTTGTGGTAGTAGCCATATTGAGAATACTTTGAGATGCAGATGCCATAACAAAGAAAAAATCAAAGTGTTATAAGCTCTGATACCATAAAGAACACAGGTGTTGAATGAAATTGTATATCTTCAATCGTATCTTTGATACAAGAGGTACATGAGCTTAAATACAAAGAGAAGTACAACTAATGTGGAGATATAAACTCCTACATATCTGTTATGACTATTTGAATGAAAGACTAAATCAAAAAGAAATGTACACATGTTACATTAATGCTATTAACGTGAAATATATCAAAACAAAAAGTAAGGACATAACAAATGGAATTATGAATACAATACACACATAGTAAGGTCTCATATATTCATTTCTTACAAAACAAAATTCGACTTGCATATATTGTATACATACTTTACTAGCCAAGTTCTTGTATATTCATTTCTTACAAAACAAAAATCGACTTACATCGTTTTTTATACATACTACACTAGCTAAGGTTGTCTCATATTACGGAAACTCTAGTAATACAAAGTTTTATTTAAGTAATACAAAGTCCTATGTTTATTGACTAATACTACTTGTTCCCGTAAGATTAACTTCATGATTAAGATTTAGAAGTTTAGCATTTGTTTTTTCCTTCAAGTCATCAAGATAATGTTGATAGATAAAAGAGACAAACCCCCATATTGCTAACAACATGGAAATCACCTTCACTCCATTCATCTTTTCATCAAAAAACCATACTGCCAAAACGGGCACAATCGGGATACCTAAAGTACCAATAACATTTGAGAAAAGAGACGAAACCTCAAAGATCAAACCCACATAACCAAGCGTGAAAACTTGCCACGCGACAGCTGTTCCTACAAGATTCATTATATACGAAGCCTGTCCAGACTCAAAACCCCTCATTTCCCATTTTATATCTTTCCATTCACCACTAGCAAATAGTCCCATTAGAATTCCAATACTTGCTATCATATTTTGGTACACGGTCATATCGAATACCACCTTGTAACTTGTAGATTTCAAAATCTTTTGAAACGCAAGTTGTGTTATTGAAAGCATTAAACCCCACCCTACACAATGACAACATAAACTTTATCTTGAGCTGTAAGTCACCCTAATTAAGGTTGAAGCTTATATGATTCGAACTTGGGGAAACTCTATTTCGGATGCTTAATTCCCAAGTCATCATCATTAGACCACCTTATGGTTTAACTTCGTGGTTATATATAGAATTTTATATCAAATATATAGTAACCAAATTTTAACATGGTTCTAGTCCAAATACATAGTTTTCTATGAAAAGTTTGACTTTTGTTTTTGTACCTTTCTTGTGAAATTATGTACCTTTTTGTTTCCATGTTTATGAAGATTAAAAAAATGAGAAATTAAATATCCTCCTACTTTTTATGCCTGCAAATCCTCCTACCCAATTAAATAGTGACATGTGTAATATTTAATGTTCATTTAATAATATTTTAATAGACTAATATAACACATGTCATCATTTAATTGGATAGGATGATTTGTAGGAATAAAAGCAGGAAGATATTTAATTTCTCAAGTTGTTGCTAATGTGGAGATATTGTGCATGAGGAATGGAAACAATTTTAATTCATTGCATAGTATTTTTTTTTTTTTTTTGAGTTTCAAAAATTGTTCAGATGTTGAAAAACGTTGTGAAATGTTTGTAGTGATGTTCGTGGTATTGTCCCTTAATATTCTATCATTTTCACAAATTAGGAAAAAAAAAAAAAAAAAAAAAAACTATTGCAATGTAGTAACTATTTTATAAAAATTCTTCCGTAAGTTAGTAAGTTTGTCACGAATCACGACATATGTCCACAATAAACAAGTTGAAGAAACTGTCATAGCCACACCATCACTAAAGGCAAAAAAAATGCTTAAAATGTAACAAAAGATTATATAGAGTTCCACAAGAGTAAAATCAAATTATAAGTTGTAGCTTAAACTTGTTTTTCAAAAAGAATGTTTACGATTCAATTATATATCTCTTAACAGTTTAAAGAAGATGTTACCTGCAGAACCAGCGACTGTGCAAACAAAACCAATGATATACTTGCTTCTCGATATTTTCCCAGTCTCTTCAGAATCGCTCTGAAACACAAGTAGCGTAGACGAAAAAGTGAGCAGAACAAGTGAATTAGCGATGAAAGGAGTGAACTTCTGGCCATTAAGAAAATATGAAAAGAAGGCGTTGAAAGCGAGAGTACTCGCAGAGATCAAAGAGAATGTGGAAACAGGCAAAAAATTGAGTCCAAAGGTAAACAACATGCAGTCTGCAGCCATGAATATTCCAAGAGTTGTATAGAGTATCACAAGGGTAGTCAACGAAGGTCTTTTGACGACTTGTTGATGGTATTGTGGTGGTGTTTTTGAAGGTGAGAACAGGAAGATGAAGGGGTACATAATTGGGAATCCAACTGTTTGAACTAGTGTTGCCATCCATTTACTGTTGCCACCTTTGATGAAGTAAAGTCTTCCTAACATTGTTGCGACTGACTGACCGGCGAGTACAAACATGGTGAAAAATACTATCAGTATCCACCACTTGTAATGTACAACTTTTGAGGAGCCTCCTCCACCATCTGATTGGATTTCTGTAATTTATAGTAATTAATAAAAAAAATCTTGATTAGAAGCATAATCATCAAGCAAGTTTCTAGGTTTACCCATTAATGCATGCATTTGAATTTTTCTCTTGTTTGGTAGACCCGTACAAAATCTTTCTAGGAAATTTTTTGTACCATTTTTTATTTATCCATTAAAAGATTTCACTTTTATACTTTGTTTTAATTTCAAATAATTAATTATATAAAATATAAAAATGAAATCATCTTATTTAACTGATTGGTCAATAAAAAACTGGATGAAATATCAAAAGCCTTGATGAAATATCACCTCTTATTTTTTATTACCCTTAGATCCCTGGCGTGTTCAAGAAACCAGAGTTAACCATCAAGAATGTACATATTGTTTTTTTAGAAGATTTTATTGATAATATTGATATTAGATATATTAATTAGTTACTACAATACTTTTCATTATGGGAAGTGATTCGTACACAATATTTTTTCTCCGTACACAACAAATTATGTTTTACAAGACTTTATTGTACAACATTTTAAAACATCAATTGTTGTGTATGGAAATATGTTTTAAAATATCAGCTCCCTTTAATTATTGGAAAAATAGTTTTTTTTTTATTTCTTCAACCGGTTATTATTTATTAAACATTTTAGAATTTAGAATTCTTTAATAACTGCTTTTTCCGTTCAATGATATTTATTATGTTTTTCTAATTAAAATTTGAAAAATATTATTTAAAAATAATTAATCTAATGTTAAATATTTTTGTTACGTGCAATTTGTGCACCTTTTTGCACACATTTTAGTCCTTTTTCATGTATCTGTTTAGCATAATTGTTCTTCCTTTTTCTTGCATTTTATCATATTCATGTTAGTCTTTAGAACAACCTTATTTGCACACTTTCATGTATTTTTCAAGTAAACCGAAGGTTGGGACGTGCTTTGGGAGGTGCCGGGATGCATTTGTGAAGAATTCAGGATGATCGGGCGAAGAGCGGAAAAGTTGGAAAATGAAGTTTGGAATTGAAGTCAAAGGGGTACACGGGGCGTGTTGGATTTACACTATAAAAGGAGAACGGGCCGAGTTGACTAGAATAGGGGCTATTGACTAAGCTAAACATGACCCGTGTTGATTTGTTCTATTTTGACACGGGTCGTGTTCGATCCAAAAACTGTCTTTTGGCAGTTTTTCCAATGCTTCATATCACAAGAATTGGGTCATTTTGAGACACGCAAATGATACCAGAGCATATTGGGTCAAGGATTTTTGAAGGTTTTTGCAAGGATTTAATCAGTAATCATTTGGAAACATTATTTCCCTTAATTGTAAGTTGTAATTTCACGTCATTTCCATCTTTGCAACTTGTGATTTTGTTCTAGCCATGTGTGGCTAGAACCCAAGTTTCCCCAACTTCATGTTTTGAATTCTTGGTTGTGATTTCAATCATATGACTTGATGTTTGCTTTTAATTTCTATCTAGTGAAATTGATTTTGCTTCAAATGAATGTTTGATTCTAATTGTGATTCTTATTGGCCCTTTTAATTAAGGTTAGGTCATTCAAGTTATTCATTTTGCAAAATCCGTAATTGTTTTGTGGATTGAACTAAGTAACAAACATTAAATTGATTCCCATTGAATAAATTTAGTGTAAATCTTTTCACACACTTAATGCAATCTTTTAATCTAAACTAAGATCTTGCTTAGATTAGGTTAGTAAGGTTAGGGTTAATCAAAGAGATTGTTTTTGGTTAATTAATATGGTGAATGGGAAGTGTTAGAGCTTGTTAACACTTTCAAGTACCAACTTAGATGGAATTGAGCAAATATCACGTATTCTTGGAATCTCATTGCTAAGTTGTCATACATAGAGTTGGAGTCCTTACAAATTCTGAGTTTGATTCACTCATTTAGCTGATTACTTTTGTTTTTTAAATGTTTGTATTAATCATTGCATTCTAAACCTCCCCCCCCCCCCTATTTACTGTTGGTGGCCATAGTACCTTGCACAAAGAGGTATAGACTAATTATCTTGTGTCTCTGTGGATCGACCCTACTTGCCTTGTACTACCTTTTAGTGCAATATAGTGGGATTCTTTTGGAGTATATTGTACCCCTTTATATGTTGGGGTTGACAAGCCTAAAAAATTGGCACCATTGTCAGGGACATGGTGTTACTAGCAACTTATGCCAAGATCTTTTCGTACAAGTACACCACTGCCAGTTGCCTCGGAGATAGAGAAGACTGCAAAGAGGTTACGGAAGCAAGCTTAGCTTTGCAAGAGGCGACCGGGTTTTGGGACTTCTTCGTCATCCACCCCTCCAGTCATTATCATTTGGGAGGATATACCCCTCTCATGTGTATCCACATCCGAAACTGAAACTCTCTCACTCTCACTACAACCATCCTCACCCAAAAAATACCACTCCACCCTCTTCACCTACTTATAATATCCCAAACCCTACACCTACAGAAACTTCAACCACTACTTATTCCATGGGAGATAACCATGGAGGGAATCCACCTCCAAATCCACCACCTGAGCAGACCTTACACTAATGGGCGAGGCCGTTACTCAATAACCTCTTTGCATCACATATCCGGCAGCCACCGACCTAGAACTAAAATTTGGGCTCATCCACTTAATCCCAACCTTTAGAGGCCTGGAAAATGAAGATCCTAATAAGTTCCTCACCGAGTTCCATGTTGTGTGTGTGGGCATGAAACAACACAATGTCACAAAGGATCAAATCAAGCTTAAGGGCATTCTCCTTCGCGGTGCAAGATGTAGCAAAAGACTGGCTCTATGACCTCCCACCGGGGACGGTTACTACTTGGGTAGATCTTGCACGTCTCTTTTTGGAGAAATACTTCCCAGAGATGAAAGCTTAAGCCCTACAGAGGAAAATCATTGGAATCAAACAGTATAAAAGAGAAGCCTTTCACATATATTCGGAGAGATTCAAGAAACTTTGTGCTCGATGTCCAAAGCATGGAATCAACGTATAACAACTCCTCCAATACTTCATTGAAGGAATGACTCCAATGGAAAGAAGGCTTCTTAATGCCTCAAGTGGTGGGTCTCTACCCGATAAGACTCCAACCGAAATTCACAACTTAATCAAGAACATGGCTGAACATTCTAAGCATTCAAGTCATGATGAAGAATGGTACACGGATGCATCTCGAGGTGCAAAGGAAGTCCAAACTTCGCAAACTGAATCACAATTGCCCGAGCTTACAAAAGTGGTTATGATGTTGGCTAAAGACTACTGTGTGCAGCCCACACCCCGACCTTGCAGTATTTGCACTCAAGTGGGGCACCCAACCGACATGTGCCATCAACTTCAAGATGAAGATTATAAAGAAGAAAATGCCTTGGGAGGGTATTCTAGGTCAACTCAGAGAGGATATGAGTAGCCACGAGGTGATCAGAGATGGAATAACAGTCAAGGTTGGGGAGGAGATCACCCGGGAAGCTATCAACCAAATCAACCACATAAATACCAACAAAGAACACCTTTTCCATCACAAAACATTCAGCCAAGGTAGCCACAACACCCTCCACAACAAGCGGGATCATCAAGTATGTCCTTAGAAGATATAGTGAAGAGTTTGGTAACTAGTACACAAGCTTTCCAACAAGAAACAAAAGCAAGCATAAAGAACTTAGAGCAACAAGTTTCACAGCTTGCTACTTCCGTAAGCAAACTAGAATCTCAAGGAAAGTTGTCTGCCCAAACTAAGACGAACCCAAGGCATAACGTGTGTGCCATCACATTGAGAGGTGGAAAGAGTTACAATGGTACAAAAGAGTCGGTTAATCAAGAGGAAGAAGAAATGGTGGTCGGAGAGGCAACCAAATAAGACAAGAAGGAAGATAAAACAAATGAAAAGAAGCCCTCCTCACTGAATCTACCGTCGCACCAACTCCATTTCCCGAAAGATTAAAGAGCATGAAGAAAGAACGGGAGGAGAGTGAACTCATGCAAATGTTCAAAAAGGTTCAAATCAACATCCCACTCCTCGAGGCCATCAAGCAGGTACCTACATATGCAAGGTTCCTTAAAGATATTTGTGTATCTAAAAAGAAAATAAAAGGAAACCAAACTATAATAGTCGGGGAAAATGTATTCGCGATTTTGCAAAAGAGGATGCTTCCGAAGTGCAAGGATCCCGATGTCTTTACCGTGCCTTGCAAATTGGGGAATCTTTTGTACCTTGAGCTATGCTCGATCTGGGTGCATCCCTAAATTTCCTACCATATTCTATTTTTAAATCAATTGGTGTATGAACATTAAGCAAAACCAGTGTGATCAGCCAACTTGCAGACCGGTCAATAGTACACCAAAAAGGTGTACTAGAAGACGTGTTGGTGCATGTCAATGAATTTGTTTTACCATCTATTTTTATGTTCTAGATATAGGAGATGGTGACTCTCCAAGTTCAAGTTACATACCTTTGGGTAGACCTTTTCTTAAAACTTCTAAAACAAAAGTTAACGTCCACAATGGAACTTTAACTATGAAATTTGATGGTGAAGTTATCAACTTCAATATTCATGAAGAAAAAAAGGTTCCTTCCGAGGTTCAATCTGTCAATCTTGTGGATATGATCCAGCCCTCAACTAAAAAAGGTTTAAACATGTCTAGCAATGAATTTCTAGAGTTAGTTTTGTCACAAAAACTGGACAGGAACAAAGTCAAAGAACTTGCAAAGGAATTTATTATAAATAACGAGTTGCTGGAGGTTTTGGAGTTTATTGATGACAAGAATCATATGAGGATTGATGAAATGAAGTCCACGCCACCTACAACGAAAGTCAAACCCCTTCCTCCGGTGGAACAAACACAAGATTCTGGATCAAAAACCCCACCAGGACCTTTAAAGAATATACATGGTGAGAAGGAGGGCACCCAACCGGTCATCAACTCAAATAAAGTATCAAAGAAGGAAGAGAAGGAGTTGATAACCCTGTTGAATAAATACTAAAAAAGGACTGAGTGGACAATCTCTAAT